TTTCCTGCTCCCTCCTGCCTCTCCTCCTCCTCCTCATCCTCCGCCCGCTCTGTCTTCTTCTTGGGGAAGGGGTCCTCCTCGTGGTCCCACAACCCATAGGACTGGGGAGGAGCACGGTCATGGGGACGGGGTCCCTGATGCGCCCCATCCCCATGATCCTCACCCCCATCCCTCACCAGCATCAGCTGCAGGAACCCAACCAGCGGTGGAAACCAAGCACCAAGCACCCTCTGAGATCCTCCGCCCGCTCTGTCTTCTTCTTGGGGAAGGGGTCCTCCTCGTGGTCCCACAACCCATAGGACTGGGGAGGAGCACGGTCATGGGGACGGGGTCCCTGATGCGCCCCATCCCCATGATCCTCACCCCCATCCCTCACCAGCATCAGCTGCAGGAACCCAACCAGCGGTGGAAACCAAGCACCAAGCACCCTCTGAGCACTCCCCAGACCCCTCCCATCACCCCTGGGATACCCCCCCAGGCTATACCCGTGGTGCTGCCCGCACCCTGGGGCTCACCAGCAGCAGGGAGCGATGGAAGAAGAGCGCCAGGAGCTGGATCAGGTCATACTTGATGTAGCGGTCCGTCTTCTCCAAGCCCAGGATGCGGGGTGGGAAGAAGGGCTTGCCCTCATTGCGCACCAGCATGGCATAGCCATTCCAGGGGAAGAACCCGAACTGGAAGAGGTATTTCACCACCACCATCACCTGCAGGGACGTTGGGGGTCAGTGGGAGGCAGCCGGGGTCTAGAGAGCATCGTCCCCTCCCATGCCAACCCCCTGGCCCACCTCGGTGAAGATGATGGCCGTCATCCAGAAGCGCTTGCTGGGCCGGGGGATGGAGAGCATGGCCCAGAGGAAGACGAGGATGGGCAGGAAGAGGGAGATGACGGAGGCAGTCACCATGTTGTTGAGGATGATGATGAAGTAGCAGAGCAGCTCGGAGTGGGCGGCCACGCAGCGGTACCCGGCCAACAGCAGCTTCAGGAACCGGTTGTGGGACCGATAAAACTGCTCCGACTCTTCCAGCTCAGGGAAGTACAGCCGCCTGTGGGGTGCAGGG